CATGCTGTGTAGCTGGTTTCTATTAAGAGACAGCGGAGCGTTCACCCTCTCTAAAGAGGGATACGTTCACTACCCAATAAAGGCAGCTCTAGCTGTGTTCTGTGAATTAGTGAACAGAGACCCTGTTATAAATCTTGAGAAGAGCAGAAGGGTACACCTGATTCTAATGACAGCAGCTATTAAGGGCTAAAAAATCACCCCCAGACAGGTGTCAGCCCAAGATCACCTAAAAGAAACCAACAACAACACAGCAAAACAAAAAATACTTGCAGGGGTTATATGACTAAGATACCCTAAAAGCAGAGCCATCCAGTGGATTCTCATATGCCTGCCTAGAAGGAAAGCTATGAGCAATGGAATGGGTTAGGATTTGTCTAATTAAACAGCGAAGTTAATAAAAAATTAAGTCTGTAATTGACTACTGAACATTTCCCTTTAGACAGCATCTTCATGATCTCATTTTATTTGCCATAAAGCTGTTTTAATTTTATGAATAGGAAATATGAGGCCATAATTATATCATATAAAAACCCAGTACAGAATTTTGGGGTTTTATGTGTATATATTATACACACTTGAGACACATTCTCTAATGCAATCTGAATATTAATACAAATATCAACTGGGGTAAAGTACTATCAAGAGATGTGCAAAATAACCCCGGATGCTTAAATGACTGGGTCAAAGAGCACAGTCAGAAATAGAACCCAGATGTTGCTCATTATCAGCGTCTTTCTCAAATTGGTGACCGGGCTACTGCTGCAATTTCACCTGTCTCTAATGTTGTCATGATTCTTTAAAAGAAATGCAGTATTTTCAAGTATTTGTTTTTCCTGCTTTACTTCACTTGCCTTTCTTAGTCCTTCATGTAACAATGATTTAAAGTCCTATATTGGGCCTTACAGAACGGTGTTTATCAAGCAGTGTTTTGTAGACTTTATTAGGTCTTAGAGAACTGTATTTATCAGCAGTGTTTTGTGGACTTCTGCCTGTATCTGTTTTCCCTGCAGGTCCATGCTGAGAATCTACACTGCCTCCCTCTGGTGAGGCTAACAATGTTACCATATCTGTGTAAAGCCAAAAGCAGAGAACACAGTCAAAGTATAGAATATAAAATGTTAAGGTATTTGGCAAACAGATAGAAATAGATTAGTGATTGTTCAGGGGGAGGGGAATGGGGTTGAAGAATGGAAAATTGATACTAAAGAGGAAGGGGTTTCTTTTTGAGGTAACGAAAATGTTCTAACTTGACTGTGGTGATGGTTGTACAATTGTGAATATACTAGAAACAAATTATAAAATTTAAATAAATGAACTGTACAGTATGTGAATTATATGCCAAGAAAGTTGTTAAGTATGAAGCTGTAATTCATGTCCTAGAATAAGCAGATGAAGCCCCCCATGAGATAGGCATTCACCCCTCAAGCACAGAGCTAAGTATGGAGCTGAGCACAGGAGAAAATATAAAACAATCTACAATCAAAGTCTGCACCTATGGAACAAGAGGATGAAAATTAGGCTAAAAGCAAACACAGGAGATAAAAGTATAATAATTCTAACATATAAATTGTTAGAGAGCAAAGCCAACCACCCATGACAACACCACTCCAGAAAGTCAGCAGGAACGCAGGATTTCACCCAGGAAAGAATCAGAGCATCGCAATTAATTGGTAATGCCAAATGTAAAGCTAAAATTTTTAAATATAATGAAAAGAATAAAAATATTTTAGAAGATAAACAAGCACATTAAGAATAAATGCAGTTGAACTAATAAACTAGTTGGAAGTCAATAATGGGCTTTCACACAAAAGCAAAAAAATAAAGTGTCTGCATCTTTGGCCAAATTCTCTCATCTGAATACAGATTCACAGTGACAGCTGCAGACCAGGCATCTCCTCCTGGGTGTTACTCCAATGCTTCATTTCAACACAGTGAAAATGGAGAAAATTTGCCAACCCCACACATTTCCCATTGACTTGCCACCCTGTCCTGACATTCTCTTCTGTGTTCCCAGTCTAGGCTCTAATACCACTTGGCAATCTGCCTTTCCCCTTCCTTAGCCTGTATATACTACTGAGTCATTAGGTCTACACCCCCTGCCATTGTCTCCTTTCTGGCCATTATCACCTCTAGCCTGGATGGCTACATGAATATCCTAACAGGCCCCTCTGCTGTCACTTTTCCCCGGTTCAAATCCATTCCTCACACCATCAGCTAAATTCCTATACAGCAAAAATCCCATTGCATCACTCTTGTTACTATCCTTTCTGACTCCTCTTCATTGCCACTTGGTTAAAACATAAATACTTGCGTGGCATTTCAGACCCTCTTTGAGCCAGACTACTCAGTTCTCAAGGAGCTTGTCTCTCCTGCAAGTCTCCAAAGAATCAGCTTTTCTCTTGCCAAAAGGCCTCTGCTGGGAAATAAAAGCTAACAGCCTTGCAGCAGGGCAATGAAACATAGATACATAAATCCAAATGATCATCCTTCCTTAACAGAATTCATGTATCATAGCATCCTACCAAAAGTTAACCATCTTCCATATGCTTTAGAACTATCCTCAAAATTCACCCAAGATTCCCCTTAAACTGAACACACAATAAACTGCTTTATCTTCACGAAATATTCCCATGGCTTTGGATCTGCTTGTCACAAGACATGAAGGAGGTATAAACAGTGTATGTGTCAGCCAAGCAGTTCTACATACACATCCTGTGCATGCAGCACTGATACACTGATACACCCAGGTCCTTATCCATCTTCTTTAGCACACAAAGACTGTGAACCACCACCCCACACATCACCACGACTTTCCTTTTATGATTTGCCATGCTTTTGTACAGTGATTTTCTCCAACAAACATCTCTCCATTTCTAAACCAGTTTCTATATTAAATGTCTGTTCACTCATACAAAAGGAGAATCATTAGTATACAACACCATTAAAAAACTGAAATTCTCTAGCCTCAGAAAAACTCAGTAAAAGGTACTAAGTCTCTAACAATCATATATCTATGAGGTGCTGAAAATCATAGAATACTTTTTTAAATAGAATGGAGAGAACACTGTAAAATTAACAGCACTGAATAACGAAGCAAAGGAATGAAAAATCATGCAAATTACCGTGATAGGAAACATTCTACACAAAAACGTACATATTTATCTTCAAACAAAGGAATTTTAGTAGACTCTTAGTAAAGGTCTTCTTTATTACTTTCTACCAGCCAAAAGAAACTATTTTTACAACACTAAAGCAATAATATGTTTTATAAAGCATTATAATGTATTTTAATATTTTTATCAGCAACCTTTCTTTCTTGATGCTGTTTGCCATAAGTAATCCTGTGCTTAGTTATTTTTATTTTGAAATATTTTAAACATTTCTATTTACATTTGTCTTCCACTGTTTGAATATTCATTAAATATTGAGAAGAGTCTTAGATATGGTAAGAATATGTTCTAAGATAAAATCTGTCAGAAGACATCATTAAACTCTAGACCAGGCCTGCCTATGTTTTGCTAGTGCTCATTACCAGGGTTCATTTCAAGCCTCCTTTACTTATTGCGTATTAACTGTTACCTACTCAAGTGCACAGCCTACATAGCTATTGAAATTAACACCATTGCATAAATTATCTTGAGCATTTGTAGGTCAGGCTTTCTGTTGTTTAAATCATAAAAATAAATAATCTAGCATCAACCCACAGTTAGAGTCCTCTATGACCTCCTATAACACAGATGATGGCTGAGTATTTTATCAATTAACATTTATAGTGACCTCATGAGGCTCCAAAGGGTGAGATGAGGAACAGATTTAATTTTGATACTTGCCTGGTCACACACATTACCAAGTCACAAATGTATTATGCAATGAATAAAAAACAAGCAGCAATATATGTAAACAGAAATTTTCATTAAATGAATCTTAAGAATGCAACAGTAAAACACCACGAGTTTTCATGTACAGCAACAATTTATAAATAAGCTCATTCCAAAAAGATCTGTTTTTCAAATTGTGTAACTTTTCAGTGAAAATATAATTTCAAACTTAAAGACAAATTGTAAGAATCAGAGTAGTTCAAAGAAAGACTGTATCCTTCATCCAGATCCACACATTTGTTGACATTTTACAAAAAAGGTCTTTTTGATGTTTTAAGAGAAAAAAGTTCCTAAGAACAGATTTTAGAATGGTACTGATCCTCAATTTCATAATGGTCAGTCAAGGTCCAAGGACAGCAGTCTGTATTTACTTAGGATTTGCACACAGAGCACGGCGTAGGCAACAATATGGATAATATCGTCTCACCCTTGAAGAACCATGAGATCAAGTGGGACAGATGGAGACATGCATCAAAAGACAATGGAGGCTGGGCGCGGTGGCTCATGCCTGTAATCTCAGCACTTCAGGAGGCTGAGGCAGGTGGATCACTCGAGGTCAAGAATTCAAGACCAGCCTGGCCAACGTGGTGAAACCTCAACTCTACTAAAAATACAAAAACCAGCCGGGCGTGCTGGAGCACACCTGTAATCCCAGCTACTCAGGCATCAGATAGGTTGAGGGATGAGAATGGCTTAATCCAGGAGGCTGAGCTGGTAGCAAGCCGAGATCATGCCACTACACTCCAGCCTGTGTGACAGAGCAAGACTCTGTCTCAAAAATAACAACAACATCGAAAGACAATCGAGCACATGTTCACAAGTTTGTCAGAAATAATACTTGTCAAACTAATGTGAGCACGGCATGGTATAAAGAAGTAATCAGATGTAATACTACGGTTAACAAGACTTCCCTTTTGAAAAGGTTTTTGTTTTGTTTTTTAGGGAGGGGACAGAGTCAAGCTCTATCACCCAGGCTGGAGTGTAGTAGTAAGATCTTGGCTCACTGCAACCTCCACCTACTGGGTTCAAGTGATTCTCATGCCTTAGCCTCCTGAATAGCTGGGACTACAGGTGTACACCACCACGCCCAGTTAATTTTTGTATTTTTAGTAGACACAGGGTTTCACCGTGTTGGCCAGGTTGGTCTCCAATTCCCGACCTCAGGTGATCTACCTACACTGGCCTCCCAAAGCGCTGGGATTATAGAGGTGAGCCACCACACTTGGCCTGAATCAGATTTTGAACTAAGTTCTAAGTGAGAAGGCCTATATGGTTCGCAACAATAGGTTAGTCTATGCAGAGAAACTGGAAGGTTCAAGAGCACTGAAGCAGAACTACCTGGAGGCAGAAAAAGATTCCGATGTGTTTCATAAGAGTCCTCATAAGGTTTTTAAATAAAAAGTTTTATATTAGCACATTTTGTGTAGACGAAATATTTGAACCTTAGACTACATATACAATCACAGTTATCAAGGTAATGACATAAAAGTAATACCATCAAGCCTGATATTCTTAGTTATAAATTAAGCTATACAGCTTTGCAGCTTTTATATTAAGTATGTATAACAAATGGGGAAAGAAACAACTTCACATTAAGGGAAAATGCCCTTATAATTTAGGATTCAATAAAGCTAACTATAAAAGGGCTTAAAATGACAGAAAGTAGAATCACTGTGAGCCTCTAACTTTAAATAAACAACTATTACTTCCATAAAACAAGGTGAGTTTTTTCCCTCTAACATTAAGTAAAAATACCTGATAGAGCTTATTTCCAGAAACCAATCATTCACAGGAGAGCACGGATTTCGTAAGAAAATAAGGTGATGACCTCATCTTTCAATGGTAATACATGTGCATGCAGATGGATTAAAAGAGCACAGGAGAAACACAAGTACTGGTGTAGTTTCCCATGCACTTACCTGCATCTGCTGTTTGAGCTCCCTGGCCAAGACACCGTCCTGAAGGGCATTCTCCCGATGAGAGGCATCAGCAAGCACATTCACTGTGGTCTCTGCTTCTTGGATCCACTTTAGGAAGTTCTCCAGATCTCTGCGGGAGGCCTGCACCATCTTCCACTCAGCCTCCAAGGCATTCTGTCTGTCAGCAACACTGAAAGTAACAATATGACAGCACAGCTCCATTACAGTGTGACATTCCACATCATCTACCCTCTAAATAAAAATCTAACAGGTAGCCCCAAAGGACCTTTTTTTTTTTTTTTTTTTTTTTCCTGAGGCCACCAGCATGCCAGTGTTCAGGGCCCAAAAATCCCTTTTTTCATAGCAAAACTGAAACTGAAAGGTCTTTCCAAAAAAAAAAAAAACTTTACTCAAATCCAATGGAAAAATGATAGAAACTATACACAACATAAAAGTAGCTACATTTACAAAGCAGCAACCTTGATAAATGACTGACCATGGACACAGCACAGAGCTTACCAGTCCCAGATCCCCTCTCTGTGTTAGGGGCTGGTTCAGACCTTTTATTCAAGTCACCATAGGTAACTGGGAGATGTATTTGTATGTGTCTTGAATAATCCTTAGTGGAGGGGTCAGGTGAATTGTGAAAACAGTGAAAAAGGGAGAGCCAGAAACATTTTAAAATCAGATCCATATCATAAAGTAATTATAACTACATTTTACATCTCATTATTGAAAATTAAATTATTCCACCATATATTGTAAGTCAATACAAAAGGCAATTGTATTCGTTCAGTCACTAAATCCTACCACTCTTTTAAGGATTAAATATTCACACAGTCAGTGACTAAATGAATTCTAGGAAGAAATAAAATCTGAAGAAATATTTAAGATAAAAATAACTGAAACAGCTGACTTTATATATTTTAAACAATTCATATAAATACAAATTGTTTTATTTAGTAATATTTAGAACACATTGGACAAATGAGCTTCTATAAACTCTTCATTAAATCTACATCAAAATTAGAACACAGAGCTATCTTGCAGTTATACGAGTTAAGAGATACACACACCTGTAAATTCAACATTTAAAACTTTATATACTTCATAGCTCTCTAATAAGAAAACAACTCAATTTTAAAAATTAGTATCAACAATTTCACTCCTAGGTTATTTCAATCCAAGAGAACTGGAAACTTATTTCCACACAAAAACTTGTACACAATTCTGTACAGCAGCATTATCTATAATGGCCAAGTAGTAGAATCAACTTAAATTGAGAGAGAAATTAATGCACAAAATACACTATAACTATACATAGAATATTATTCACCCATAAAAGGGGATGAAGTACTGACACATGCACGACATGGATGAACCTTGAAAACATTACGCTAAGTGAAAGAAGGTGGACACAAAAGGCCACATAGGGTGAAATTTCCATTTACAAAAAATTTCCAAAATGGGTAAATTCATACAGAGAAAGCAGATGACGTGTTGGCTAGAACTGCATGGCGGAGGACAATGGAGGTTGACTTACTCATGGTATGGGGGTTCTTTGGAGGATGACAAATTTTCTGAAATTAAGAGTAGTGATGAATGCCAAACATGGTGAATATACTAAAAATCACTGAGTTGCACACTTTAAAAGTGTGAATTTCTTAATATAGCAGTGAATTTTGTAATTCCCTTATCTGTAGGAGATACATTTCAAGATCCCCAGTGAATGCCTGAAACCACAAATAGTACAGAACTCTATACCATGTTATATATACCATGTTTTTTCCCATACGTACACACCTACTTTTACATTATAAATTAGGCACAGTAAGACATTGATGATAATAACTAATAATAAAATAGAACAATCATAACAATATGCTGTGTAAAACTTCTGTCAATGTGATCTTCCTCTCCCTCAAGATTTATGTTTGTATATACCACAGGTAACTGAAACCACAGCAAGCAAAACCACGGATAAGAGGGACTACTATATACAAATTGTATCTGAGTAAAAACCAGTGTATCTAATAGACTTTATTTACATGTATTACCTACTATCCATCTACTCATGCATCCATCTATCTGTCCTTCTATTTGTATATATACTTAGAGAAAGAAATGTCTGGAATATTAACTTAATATTCTAACAGTTATTTCTGGGCGCTGGGACTTAAGTTGGTTTACTTTCCTATTTGTACTTTGTGGCATTTTTTGATTTTATAACAATGCAGTATCTTTTATTAACATATCTTTTTTTAAAATGGGCAAAAGATTTAAACCTATTACCATAGATGTTTAGATGGCAAGCAAATGAAAACATGCTCAGCACATTCATCATTAGAGAAATGTAAATTCAAACCACAAAGAGACATTGCTTCATGTTAAAATGGCTTTAAGAAAATGACTATACCAAGGGTTGGTGGGAATGTGGAGTAACTGCAATTCTCATACATTGCAGGTAAAACGACAGCCATTTTGAAAAACAGCTGGCAGTTTGTTATAAAGTTAACCACGAATTTGTGATACAACTCAGCAATCTTACCCCTAGGCATTTATCCATGAGAAACAAAAAAACACACATCTAGACTGGGCACAGTGGATCATGCCTATAGTCCTAGCACTTTGGGAGGCCAAGGCAGGCAGATTAATCGAGGGCAGGAGTTCGAGACCAGCCTGGACAACATAGTAAAACCCCTTCTTCACTAAAAATACAAAAATTTGCTGGGTGTGGTGGAGCACGCCTGTAATCTCAGCTACTTAGGGGGCTGAGGCAATGAGAATTGCTTGAACTCAGGAGTCAGAGGTTGCAGTGAGCCAAGATTGTGCCACTGCACTCCAGCCTGGGTGACAGAGTAAGACTCTTGTCAAAAAACAAGCAAACAAACAACAACAACAAAAAACGTGTCTACATAAAATCTATATGCCAGTGTCTATTGTGGCCTTATTGATAATGGCCAAAAACTAAAAACAATCCAAATATCAACTGGTATTACATACAGATAGACAAAGTTTGCTACAGTGATGCAATGGAATACTACTCCACAAAAAAAATAAGCAAACCACTGATACATGCAACAACATGCATGGATTCTCACATGCATTCTGCTAAGTCAAAGAAGCCAGACACAAAAGACTACATACTAAGATTCTGTTTATATGACTTTCTGGAATGTCATCACTTCATCCTATCATTTACTTCTTAACCTGCAGAAAGAATTTAAATTGCCTCACCTGGAATTTAATTTCCTCCATAATTGATCCCAGTTTACTTTCCCAACTTTATCCCCTACTTTGCTTCAATAGTCTGTTTAGGTAATAGTGGTGTGCTCCTTTACCTCTAGAATATTCATAATATTGTGTCCACATGAAAATGTTATATCCATATAAAAATGACCTGATGAACCTCTCCATTTATTACAATCCTACCACTGCTTTAAGGGTTAAGGACTACCTTTTCCGGAACATTCCATCCCAGTTAGGTTTCCTTGTTATGAGTTCATAAAAGATCAATAATCTTCTTCGAACAACAATTAATCACATGGATCCTGGGAAAAGGCCTTGAATGATGAACTTGTTTCACTTTCAAATTGTATTCTAACTACATTATATAGTTTTCTTACCTTTCCACCCATTCTATCATCAACTCTCCTTCAGCAGAATTTGTTATATTTCCATATCCTGAGTCCTATTTATATTATTGTAAGTATTTACAGAATGATAATCTTTCCACATTATGGCTTTATTTTATTTTATTTTATTTTTGAGGTAGAGTCTTGCTCTGTCACCCGGGCTAGAGTGCAGTGGCATGAGCTTGGCTCACTGCAACTTCTACCTCCTGAGTTCAAGTGATTCTCCTGCCTCAGCCTCCCGAGTAGCTGGAATTATCAGCACATGCCATAACACCTGGCTAATTTTTGTAGTTTTTTTAGTAGTGATGAGATTTCACCATGTTGACCAGGCTGGTCTCAAACTCCTAACCTCAAGTGATTGGCCCAACTTGGCCTCCCAAAGCACTGGAACTACAGGCATGCGCACATAAAAAACTGGGCAAAGGATGTGAACAGACACTTCTCAAAAGAAGACATTTATGTAGCCAACAAACATATGAAAACAAGTTCATCATCACTGGTCATTAGAGAAATGCAAATCAAAACCACAATGAGATATAATTTCATGCTAGTTAGAATGGCAATCATTAAAAGTCAGGAAACAACAGATGCTGGAGAGAATGTGGAGAAATAGGAACGCTTTTACACTGTTGGTGGGAGTATAAATTAGTTCAACCATTGTGGAAGACAGTGGGGCAATTCCTCAAGGAGCTAAAACCAGAAATACCACTTGACCCCGCAATCCCATTACTGGGTATATACCCAAAGGATTATAAATCATTCTACTCTAGAGACACATGCACATGTATGTTTATTGCAGCACTGTTCACAATAGCAAAGACTTGGAATCAACCCAAATGCCATCAATGATAGGCTGGATAAGGAAAATGTGCCACATATACACCGTGGAATACTATGAAGCCATAAAGAAGAATGAGTTCAAGTCCTTTGCAGGAACATGGATGAAGCTGGAAACCATCATTCCCAGCAAACTGACACAAGAACAGAAAACCAAACACCGCATGTTCTCACTCTTAAGTGGGAGTTAAACAACGAGAACACATGGACACAGGGAGGGGAACATCACATACCAGGGCGTGTCAGGGATGGAGAGCAAGGGGAGGGAGAACATTAGGACAAATATCTAATGCATGAGGGGCTTAAAACCTAGATCATGGGTTGATAGGTGCAGCAAACCACCACAGCACATGTATACCTGCACGTTCTGCACATGTATCCCAGAATTTAAAGTAAAAATTTGAAAAACTAAAATAATAAAAATAATCGAATTGATTATAAAAAATAGGTCCTACATACCATTTTTCAAGAAGCTCCCAGATATCCCCCACAGAACTTAGTTTGCCAATCAAGGAGGAGGAAGATATAAGAAACGTAAAGAAGAGATCCGACCCAGGGAGAAGCAAAGGGACTCTCCTGTTAATGGTGAGAGGAGATCACAGAAAAGAGGGCGTGAATCCACACTGGAGCAGGTAAGGGCTGTCTTCAGCATTGCCACCACTCAGTATTCCTGTTTTAACGTGATGAAACTTACAAAGGATACACTCAGACCAAATGT